CACATCAACCATGACCCATATGTCATCCATGGATATTACCATAACATTATAAGAAACTTCAACATGACCCATGACTCATATGTGATATGTGGGTATTACCATGACATTATAAGCAACTACCATATGACCCATTACCCATACCTCTTTTATATATAAATTTTGTTTCAAACATAGCAACATAAAGATGTATATTTTATTATTATTTTATTCTCGTTTACAATTTTAAATTAAAATTATGGTATGAACACCTCGTTACCCTTTGTTGTTTCTTGACGTTACTCTTTCTACTTCGCTGCAACTACTTTAAAAAAAATGAATTAATAAATATTTAGCGCTAATTTGTACTGCTTGAATTTGTCATTAGTGGAGCTCCAAAAAATTCCACAAATCATTTCCCTCTGACCTACACACGTTAAGCCTGCATATTAGGATAAGTTAACTTATTAGAAACTGGGTTTACATTTACTGTCATCATCTACAACTGCTAATTGATCCAAATCTACATTTCTTCATTATGTTTGTGCACTGACTTTGGCGATATAGGTTGTCACTCATCTAAAATTTATTTTTATTTAATTTACTATTGTCGTGATCATCGTTTCTTGTTCTCTGATCATCATTATATATATTATCATCTTAAATTACAACTACGTTGGTTTTGCCTTCATAATCTATGATTGGTGCACTTTAATTACCTGTTAACAAAGTAGGCAATATTATTCCAAAAGTTTTATTCAATAGTATGCATTCATAGTAATGCCTTCATCTATAATTTATTTTTATTTTGTGATTGTACTTTGCTCATCAAGATTTTTATCATCTTTAATAAATTGGTATTGACTATAGTTTTTTGTTTATTTGTAAGCATGAAAGATATTTCGAACTTGAAACCAAAAGGAGCATCAAGTGTTAAGTCAAATAAGTTCATTGCACCTCATATTTTGAACCGCAACAGGACTTCAACTGCAAAATTCTTAAGCAAATAACTACTAGATGAAGTAGTCAACTTCTCAAAATCATCAACCACATCCCATTCACCTATAACATCTAGCTCCAAAACCCCTAAACCTAAATCATTAACACCAACGATCACTACCACATCCTCAACAACCTACTCTTCATCACTTACAACATCCACACCATCCTCAACAAATACATCTAAAACTTCACCAACTAGACCATTGATACCATCCTCAACTCCTATATCTACAACCAACCTTCAACACCCACATCATCGAAACCGTCCTCAACACCGACATCGACTATCACATCATCAACACATATATCTACTACCACAACCTCAACACTTTCATCGACACCACCATACTTAGCAACTACAGTAACTGCCACATCCTCTTTACCTAAATGAACGACCGCATCCTCAACATATACATCTATCCCACCACCTACCCCCAAAATCTACCCAATCACCAACACAACCAACCTTAAATACATCCACAACAAATGTGAATGGATCTGTTATGGAAAATGAAGAAGGTCAAAAAAATTCTTCTGAAGATTGTAGACCATATGAACGTTTAACTATTCATGTTTGGCAAAAAAACGTGAGTTACCAATCATATCTTACAATTTTTTTCAATGTATAACGTTTTGGTCTACACCTAGATATGAATTCAAAACTAAAAACGATCCCATTATTTGCAGGCTCACGCCACCAGGTCCTTGTGCACACATTATTAGTCGGTCCTTTTTTTAAAGAGTAGATCCACAAGGCTACACTTGGAGAAAAGTAAGCAAAGACATGTGCAAATTATATTGGGAGGAGTTCCAAGTAGTTAGCTATATGTGATAAATTGTTGTTTGGTAAACATTTACATTTAAACTTATATTTCTATTGTAAATATGTAGAAAAAATGTTGTTGTCGTGAAGCAATTGACTTGCTGGTGAGGCAAGCTTGGGCAAGTAAAGCGGTACAAACTTATGGCCAATATCTCTACAACATGCGGAGCCGACAAAGAAATGCACATGCCTTTAAAGCAGCTCGTATTTCACAAGAAGTCTAGAACTCCTGGAAATCAAAATGGAATGCAGATGAATACAAGTTGAAATCCGAGCGGAACAAGAAAAATAGGCGTAACAGTGTGGCTGATTGAATAACACAACCTACCCATAACGTTGGATCCACAAGTCATTTGAAGATAGCTTCTGATTTAGTAATTTTATTTAATGGTACATCAATGTTTATTATGTGTATATTTTACATTTTATGGTATTTATGCAGAAGATGAAATTAGGATGTGATCCACCCCATAGTGAATTGTTCTTGTATACACACACGGAGAATCATGATGGAGTCACATTTACAAATGAAAAAGATAGACAAATTCATGTAATATTCATTTCAATGTAATTAAACATTTATATTTTAGCTAGTCCTTAATGTCATTCCTAACTTTTATATCTTTTAATTTAAATTATTATTATTTTGTAGGCGGACTATACAAAAGAAGGGAAGAGTTGGAAGCTGAAGGTGCTAAATTTGAGGATGACAAAATATTTTATGATGTAGTTGGTGGTCATGACAAAAAAGAAGACTTTATGGATTAGGCTCTTTTGCAAAAGCGGTTCCCAAGATTAACAGTAAAATGGATGTATCTTACATTTCGAAAAAAAAATGATGAAATGGAAGAATTGAGGGAGCTTGTTGCTAAACAAAAAGAGCAAAACGAAGAGCTTAAAGAAATAATGAAGGCCTAAGAAGACCAATACAAGGCAAGAGTCGAGCAACTTGATAAACAACTTAAATCGGCAATGAATCTTATTAATGTTATTAGAGAACAACAAAACTAGTAGGTCATAAAGTGTTGATATGTTTATTGAAAAGTACTTATTTTAGAGTAGCCACTTTCTATTTTCCATGTAATATATAATTATTGTATTATTTTATGATATAATGTTATTTGATTTTTTTGTTATTTTTGTTTTTCATATATTACTACAAAGTAATTCAGAGTTAATTTATAAATCAATTATCCATTCGTGCCTATGAAATCTTTGCTATGGAATCTGGTATATATTATACACCATAGAAATTGCTAGGGAGTCATCACCACGGAATTTGCTAGGGCTTCACCACCACAGAATTTGCTAGGGATCCACAACCACAGAATTTGCTAGGGATTTATCACCATGAAATTTACTAGGGATTCACCACCACCGAATTTGCTAGAGATTCACCACCATGGCATTTGCTAAGGATTCATCACTATGAAATTTGCTAGGGATTCATTACCACAGACTTTGCTAAGGATTAACTACAAGATAATTTGTTATGGAATAACTACCACGGAATTTGTGATGGAATCGTACAACGGAATACACGACGGAATACCATCCACAATGTATTTCATTCCGTTGTCACATTTCCGACCGAATGATTGTTTCTCTAGAAAACCCTAGCTACGGGTTTTTTTGGGACGGAAATTGGTCGTCACCAATTCCATCGCTATTGTCTTTTGCAACGGAATTTCAGCTTTTCGCAATGGATTATTTCCCTAGCAAAATCTTTTTTTTCTTGTAGTGGACATTGTAGTTTGAAAACTATATCCAGATTATAGAAAGTATAATGCTTTTATCCGAAATTATTATCTTAGTTACAAGATAGTGATTTTGTATTAGCCTAACATATTTATGAAATCAAACAAACTACCTATTGCTAATCATAAATCTTTATTACTATTTTCAGGTATATTACATTGAAGAGGGCCATAAGTTGGAAGTATCAGCATTAGAAGGAAAATGTAAAGTTACAAGGAAAAAAGCCCTTTCTTCACAAGACACTACTTATATCTTTCACCATGTCTTCTTTTGCTGATTAATGAAATATACTTAGACATATTGCTTTCTAGATTTTATTACTATATATTTTTTTATCAAAATAAATATACAGTTGATGTATCTTAAATCTCTAGGGGAATATTAGTGTACATCAATTGTACTTTTATGTTATTTTATACTCATTTGTAATTTGTCCATATAATTTAGCCCAAAGGGTACGAGAGTAATTTCACACAACCCTCCAACCACCATTGAACCACCTAAAGCCACCACCTCTCCTCTAGTAAGAGCAGATTTATCAAAAAGTTACTTCATTTTCATACATTAGTGTTTTTGTATTTACAACACTGAATAAATCTTTGTTATGGTAGAGTAAATCGAAGACTTGGCGTGCACAAACAGTGAGCTTGTGAACACTAACAAAATTGATGCCAATTTTCTTCCTATACTCCAAATCCGACAACAGATTCTTCATATTCGATTTAGTTACCCTGCTATGAAATATGAAAACGTTCAAGTGGACAGTTCAATCAACAACAACGAAATCAATAGAAATGAAACTGAAGATATGGGAAATAGGAATTGATTGAAGTCGATTCTACATGATGCGATTATGCGTGTATGCGACGACAGTGGCGATCGGAAGTTGTGTTGTGCTGCGACTGGAACTATTAGGAGGCTGCCAAAACGTGAGATAGGGAAGCAGGCTGCGATCGTAAGTAATTTCAAGGCACGTGATCTGTATTGGAATTTAAAACTAAGGGCATTATTGTCCATTTACAATGTTTTTTTAATTATAATGATTTAAGATTATGAAAAAGAATTACACATCAATAAAAATTATCAAAAAAATAGATTTGGGTATATATGATATTAAAAAACTTTAAGAAGGACAAGTACGATATTCAGAGTTTAGGTCGGACAATTACGATATTTAAACATGCTCGTGGCAATATTTATTTATGTAATTGACTATTTTTGGGGTGATTATTTTTTAATTTAGCCTTAACCTCAAATATATTTGGACGAGCCTTACAAAAATTATTGTCTATAAATTATTTTATAAAAGTAATTTACATTTAATATTTTTGTTTTCTTTGAACTTTTCAAAACATCATCATTATTGCATGAGTATTTAAACATCAATTTTTTTAAACGTTTCTACTATAATATTTTTATAGTTAAAGTACTATATCAAATTACTACGAGTAAACAACACATTTTATTACATACACACATCCAATTAATAAACGTTACATAAACGCGTAGCCCAACTTCCCACATATCCAAAATCAATTATTAAGTGTCACCCATATTACCGATACAAATTTTTGATTTACTTAATTCCGGAGTTGGTGAGTCTCTATGTCTTTGGTGACCTCCTTGTAAAATTCCAAAAGCGTATCTGGATCAGGAACATTAGGGTTTAGCTTCTCATACTCTACGGTCCATGTGACAAGGTTGTTTGAACCATCTGCGTCTACCTGAACATGTGTAACAAAGGTCTTATATAATTCCAGTAGATCGCCTTCAAGTGCCTTGAAAGTGACCAACTTTTTTGCTTCATCTAATTCTTGGGTTAGTGTTTTTATAACACGGTCTTTTCCATCTGCAACAACATATAATCCAAACATTGTTTTAAAATGTATATATGGACAAAAAAATTAGAGTATACTACATTGAATTTGTTGTTAGCAATCCATTATGTAGAAAGATGTTAGAGCATATATGGAAGGTTTACCATGAAAATAGTTCCAGAAGAGAATAGAGCCAATGGTTCCAACTTCACCTTCACGGATTTGACAGTTTTGGATGGTAGTTGGTGTCAAAGTGGGAACTTGGCAGGGGTTTGTCTTCCATAACTGGAGAAAAACATCACAGCTTGACTTGATCTTAACCTGAATTGTTTTACTACTTAGCCCCATATCTTAATTTGTAGAGGTTGAATGAGAATGACTTGTTTGTATCATTACCATTTATAGGACGTCATTACCATTTATAGACGTCCTGCCTTCCCCACCACTTACTAATTGTGTTAACAAATTATATACTCGTAAGATTTAAAAAGTATTTCATCATGTGGTTCATGTCTAACTGAATATGCATGTTTAAATTAAAAATCATGAAGAAATAAATTAAATACGTTTTGTTAGGTGGTGAATATATTATTTTTTATTATAAAGACTTGGAATCCATTATTAATTGATTATGCATCATTATTTACTCTTTATGGTAACTTTCAATCAAAAAATTATTAAACAAATTTTTCATCAAAAAAATGATATACAAATACAAGAATACTATAACATTAATGTGAGATACTACTTCATGGCTCGGCAATATACTGCTGCGTCACGTTTTGTATCCAGAGTCTCCTGGACGGAGAGCGTGAATTTGTGTATAGATCTATACGGGACTGACCCTCCTACACCTTGCTGCTAGCTACAGTGGGACCTGCAGGTCTACGGGTGACGAATGTCATATCATTTCGACGTCTCGAACGTCGTGTTATACTAGTCAATCAAGTATGGTTACAATCATATCACATTTTACCTTAATTAAACTAACAAGTTTATGGGTAGGTAGTACATTGGTAGTTATCTAGATAAAACTACGGTGATTCAACTACATCTCCTGTTGTTTCTTCCGAATCGATGATTAAGGTGGAAGTCGTTTTGGAGAATTATGTAGTAGGTGATGTGAATAAAGCGAGAAATGAGGGCTGTGAACCGGACGCAGGCGGAGATAAGGTCACAGAGGATTTACCGCTGGTAAGTGAGGATGTTGGTAAAGGGAAGCAAGGAGAAGCAGATGGAATCGTTTACCTAGAAAATGATGAATCTGACGAGACCATAGTCTAGAAGATAGATGATTTACAGCATGTAAGCGAGAATGTGGATCAAGACAAACAGGGATCAGGCATCAATGGTCCCCAATTGGAGACAGTTGCAGGTAAGAAATTTTTTCACCATGAACATACATTTTGATTTATCACTTGATTGCGCCTAAACCGCAGTAGACCGCACCCAGGGGGTGGTGTTCCATGTCCATGTGGCAAAACCGCGGTTTGAAACCGCGACCACTCCCTACAGCCTAAGAAATTTGAGTTTGAGCACATAAAGCTAATGTCGACAAAATGAACCTTCGAGGAGTGGTGTCGCACTCCCTCATGAAACCGCAGTGACACGTAGGCGCCAGCTCACCAATTACCACAAAAGTGTGGTTTCATACCACACCCAAGCAGTGGTGCCACACTTGGGTATTTTTTTTTAATTTTTTAACAAATAAAAGGGACCAATCAGAGGGAAGGAAGAAAAAGGAACCAATCACATTGTTGGAAGGTTGTTTGAAGGAGTGCTCCCTTGGAAGGATGCAGTGCACTCTCTACCGTACCCAGGGGCGGTGTTTGTGCTTATGTGGCAAGGGGAGTGCGGTCCAGGCCGCACCCACTCCGTCTGGTCTAATACCCCCAGGGCCAGTGATAGGCAGGGGCAATATGGGCATGTGCACAGGGCCCATTTTTTCAGGGGCCCATTTTTTTTTGATACTGCTGTTAATCGACTAACGGAAAGTCTCATCAATCACCAATTCATCATTGTCTTCAACCAGTCCACCATGCACCAGCATAAGTCGATATTCCAAAATCCCGTTAAGAAGACGACCTAATTAATGAAACCAGTTCCAGTTGCACCTTCTAAAGATTAAAATCAACGATATTCTGGTATTAAGTTTTCTATTTTTGTTTTTGTTCTAGTTTAGCAGCCTTGAATCGGGAATTAGGTTTTTGTTCCAATGGGAAACCTTGAATCGGAAATCATTATAATCACTAGTATTTAGTAATGTTAATGTTTATCATTTTATCACTTATCAGATTATGTTTATCAATTTGTCAGAAATCTGAAATTCTGATTTCTTTGGAGAATTCATCTTTAGCAGATACCTTTGGTGATTACATCCTTAGATGCATACATGGACCATGGGTTACAGTCTTACAGAGGTTCTTTTATTATCTTTTATAGCATTCTAATATTTATATCCATAACATGTTAAACTTGGTATACTATTTGATCTTTATTAGAATTAATAAATGCAGAAGTTGAAATTGTTCTTAATGATATCTATGTTGTTGAAACTTGAACAAGATTCAGCTGGGTCAACTTGCTACCGCCTACTGTGAAAGTTGTTGTGAACCTTGTTACACTATTATCTCATAACAAGTTAACAACAAGGTTTGCATTTTTTTAATGTTCTAACTGCTAGGGTAATGCTTACTTCTTTTTTCATTGTTTTGTTTAGGACTAAGAGGATGTTTTTTCCCATTAACCGTTGTTTATATAAATGAGGTTTAAAAAGTTATTTGAAAGGGTAAATAGAAAATTGAACATATCAAGGGAAATTTTGTTTAAAATAAGGACTTATTTAATGTCAAAAGCTTGAACAAGATGGTCTCTGATTTGACCTTCAAAGGCAAAGCTAAATGACTCTGTACAAAAATATAACATACCTTCTACAACCTAATATTATTTGAACAAAATTCATCTATAGCTAGGGTTGTAATCGAACTGAACGTTCAACGAACTGTTCGTGAACCGTTCGACGGAAAGTTCGTTTATGTTCGTTTATTTAATAAACGAACGAACATGAACACAAATTATCGTTCGTTTAGTTAAACGAACGAACATGAACAATGGTCTCGTTCGTTCAATTATGTTCGTGAACGTTCGTTAATATTTTTCGTTTACGTTCGTTCATATAAGTTCATTTTATGTTCACATATGCTTAAGTGTGTTTGATTACATTAGTGTATTATATGTTCACTTATGTTCATATATCTTCAATTATGTTTTTTTTTATCTTTGTTCATTTATGTTTGTTTGTTTATGTTCGTTTAGCATGTTCACGAACATAAACGAACGAACATGAACAATGTAATTTTTTAAACGAACGAACATGAACAGGGAAATTCGTTCGTTTATCCGTTCGTGTTCGTTTATTTGTTCGGCTAACTTAAACGAACGAACATGAACATGCCCCGTTCGTGTTCGTTCGGTTCGTTTACAGCCCTATCTATAGCATAACTTCTAGAACCTAAACTTTATTTAATATTTTTTGACAACGTTTTAAAGCAGTTTTCAACAACATTTAAAGAGATTTTTTAACTGCATTTTAAGTCAGAATTTTGACAGCATTTTAAACCCGGGTTTTACAGCATTTTAAGCATTTTTTTACAACATTTAATCTGTTTTTTCATCATTAAAATCAACCTTTAAACTTTCTATTTTTTCAGCCAAATTTTTATGTTTTTTAAGTCTTTAAACTCTATGTCAATTGTTTTTAGATAGATAGATATGTCATCATTGATTTGAAACATAAAAAAACATCTAGTCTAAGAGCTTTGTTTGTTGAAAATATGAAAGAGTATGCTGACTAGATCAAGGGAAAATTGCAACAAATAGTAACATTCTTTCACTTCATTTCTAGTTTGGTCATTAGTATTTAAAAATCGTGTCTAAAACGTTTATTGCTATAAAGTTTATCGTCATTTTAAACAAACTTTAGTTTATATAATTGAATTTGTTGCACGTTAAAGCCTAAGGGCCTTTTTTTCCACCTCGTCCTGGGTATTTGAATCCTCAGGACCGGCCCTGAATACCCCAATCCCATATAATGAGGTAAGAGGGAGGTGGTATGGTCACATAGTTCTTACCATAAGGTTGCATAAGGCCTCCAAATAAACATTACATAAACAAGTAGCCGTTACCATAAGGTTGTAAAGATTAAAACGCTTATAGAATAAACATTACATAAATAAGTAGCGCAACATCCCACACATCAAAAATCAATTATTGAGTGTCACCTATAATGGTGCAATACATATTTTGATTTATTTAATTATGGAGATGATGGGTCTCTATTTCTTTGGTGACCTTCTTGTAAAATTCCAAAAGCGTATCTGGATCGGGAACATTGGGGCTTAACTTCTCATATTCCACAGTCCATGTGACAAGGTTGTTTGAACCATCCGTATCTACATGAACATGCGTAACAAAGGTCTTATATAATTCCAGGAGATCTCCTTCAAGTGCCTTGAAGGTGACTGACTTTTTTGCCTCATCGAATTCCTGGGTTAGTGTTTTTATAACACGGTCTTTTCCATCTGCAACAATATATTATCCAAAAGATTGTTTTATATGTAGACAAAGAAATAAGTGTATACTATTTTACAACCCATAATATAGAACTAACGATGAATATTGTTAGGGAATATATGAGAGGTTTACCATGAAAATAGTTCCAGAAGAGAACGGAGCCAACGGTTCCAACTTCACCTTCATGGGATTGACAGTTTTGAATGGTAGTTGGTGTCAAAGTGGGAACTTGGTGCGGATTTGCCTTCCATAACTCGAGAAAAACATCACAGCTTGACTTGATCTTAATCTGAATTGTTTTACTACTTAGTCCCATATCTCTTTAGAACTTGAATGAGAATTAGTTGCTCAGATTGTTACCATTTATATATGGGAAAATTTCATATTTTTGTCCTTGTAAACTCTGAATATTACTTTAATATCCTTCCAAACTTTAATATTGCATGTATATCCTTCTAAAGCTATGAAAATTACATCAATATCCAAAATCACTTTTTAATTAGAATTATATCAATTTTTAATTAAGAAAATTATATAAAATTCAAAATTGCATATAAGTTTACCAAAATACTCCTTTTTAAATTATCCCATCAAATTAAACGAGTATCTCCGAAGGCTTTTATGCATATATATTGCCCTAAAATATTTTCATAAACTAAGAGAAATAATTATGGCAACAATCAATGCAAAAACTTTTGTGCTTAAGCCAATTAGATGGAATCAAAGGCGAACCTTTGCCTTAGTTTAGAATATAAATTGGTGGCAGCATCTGCAATTCCCAAAAAAGAAGCAATAAATCAAGAAATTGATTAAAAGAAATTGTTACATAATGAACTTATTAAAAGGCTTCTTACGAGTACATTGAGATGCAATTTTTCCTTGTCCCACTTCAAATCTTGTCTAAAAACAAGAACGTAAAAAAAAAAAAAAAAAAAAAAAAAAGTCAAGCTTGAATCAGGGTACTTCAAATGTTTTCACTATTAAAAACTTAACATCAGCAAGCATTTTATAGCAAGTTAGTTTCGAAATGCTTAAATTGAATAATTTGAGTGGAGTACTGAATATCAAATTAAACTTATCTACAAAATCCAATGGAGTAAAACTTTTCATTTATGATCCTCTTGATTTTAGGACTCAAAAGTCCCCTATGTCTGAATCCATATAACTTAAGCACATGATTATTTGCATGATTAAAATTTCTTTTCATGATACTCAAACACCTTTGAACTAGGTAATCACCATAACTTCCACAAGGGTTAAACCCAACAAAATGAGTCACAAAAGGCCATCTTTTATCACCGAATCCAAGACGATATTTCTCCATAATTTCTTCATATCTATCAACCAATCCAACCCAATACCCATAAAGAAAATAAGAGTTTTCAACAAAAACTTTGTTCATCCATTCTGTTTTTGTAATCAACAAGTATATCAAAGCAGATTGTAGTTTAATTACGATTCTCTTCTTGTTCATCCGGATATCGTCATCCCGTTTCAATGTAGCATGGCATGAACGTCGGCACTATGGTTTACCGGTTGTGGTCGTCCGTAAGAAGAGGTGATGTAGACGGTGAAGTAATGAAGTGGATGCCTTAGAGATATTCGTTTAATTTGATAAGATAATATAAAAAGGATTATTTTGGTAAACTTATATGTAATTTCGAATTTTATATAAATTTCTTAATAAAAAATTGATATAATTCTAATTAAAAATTGATTTTAGATATTGATGTACTCTTTATAGTTTTAGAAGGATATACACGTAATATTAAAGTTTATAAGGATATGAAACTAATATTTAGAGTTTAGAAGGACATAAATGAAATTTTGTATGTGAATGTCCTGCCTTTCCCACTAGCTAATAATTGTCTATAACAAATTTTATATATACTCGTTATAAGATATTTTTAAGTACTGTTTTATCACGTGATTCATGTCTAATTTAATATGTTTCTATTTAAAAATCACAAAGAAAACAGATACGTTTCATTTGGTGGTGTATATAACTCGTTAGGTGGTGTATACTTATTTTATTATTATTACCACTTGGAATCCATTATTAATTGATGTGTGAATTTTTTTTGGATACGGCGAATAATATTAAAAGTCACACTACCAACAAGAAACTAGCCGGGGCAAAAAGAAGTTTATAGCTTACAAATTACACCGGGAGCAACACCACTCTATCCATTTACACATATTATGGGATCCCTTATATTTGTGTCAAGAATACACCATGGATATCACATCATCAGCTATTGTAGTGGCTAATATAGTCACGTTGTAAATTTTATTATTTCCTGCTTTCCAAATTTGTCAATAACAAACCATAAACTATGATCATTAATCTTTTGCGTTTCTTTGGGCAGTTACGCCATCTCGCTCCAAAGTCTAACAACTCATCAACATTTAAAAATTGTTGTCGGGGATGCCACGTCATTTAAAAATCCAATCAAGAGCATATGTAGCAAACAAGAACTTACTAGAAGGTGGTCCACCGATTCTTCTCGTGTGACTGTGACCGTGTCACAACACCATGCAGAAAAAAAATACAAACTCCATGTTTTGCAAGATCAGTTGCAGATGGAATTCTACCAAGCTTTTCCCTCCAGATTAAACATAACATTTTTACCAGGACGATTTTAATCCAATCAATTTTATCGCCACGCTTATGAGTAATCTTTGAGTCAACTTGACTTCTTCCTGCCTCCACTGTGAACACATATGGATTAAGTTTACATCGAAATCCATCTTTGCCCTGCAAAAACTTGTAATTACATAAAATTGGGTTCAAAGATGTTAGCTCCTGTATGGTGGATCATATATGGGGTGACATCTCCACGTCCATTTAAAAAGATTTCCTTCCCCCTTTCTACAATGTAACAAGATTTAAAGGATTCAAGGGAGTATAAATTCAGGAATTCTGACTGAAGTGTGATTGGACCTAACCATTTGTCTTTCCATAACATTGTGTTGTTACCGGAAGCAACATGGTGATAGAATGTGTCACTTCAAGATATACCCAAGTTGTTGAGATCATCAAGAGCTTTGGTAATATTTTGCCAAACCCCAGACAAAGTCTTTTTCGACGTCTCCCACCAAGGCTTTTTAACAAAATTGTGAATCCACTGAAGGACTTCACACCACAGGGAGGTTTTTTCGATTCGAAGGCACCATATCGATTTGACTAGAAGAGACAAGTTTTGGATTTTAGAGATCCCACTCCTAGACCACCTTCCTTTTTTGGGGCAAGCACCATATCACACGCAATCCAGTGAATTTTCTTTTCGGATCTTGAACGTCCCCATAAGAAATTCCTTCTCAGTTTTTCAAGTTCATCTATGATGCAGTAAGGGGCTTTAAAAAGTGAAAAATACACTACAAGAATAATGATCTTTAGTGGCGATGCCTTTAGCGGTGACAACCACCTTTAGCGGCGACATGTAACTTTCGCGTTACATGTATCCACTAAAGGTGGTCGTAGCCACTAAAGGTCATGGACCCTGATCTGTGTCAAAATTTGGGTTAATCTGTATTCGTCGATCTGGTTCCTAATCCAACAGCTTGACACCATTCTTGTACACACCAATATCAGCGACCTCAATAGCAACGACATATATCGTCGTTAATACTAAAAAAATGGCCTCGAGAAATTCGCTCCAGACCGTCACCACAAAAACCCTAGAGTTTCCACTAAAACCGTAGTGTCGCCTCTTGTCACACTCGTTTCCAAAATAGATCAGTTGAGGACTTGGAGGAATCAAGGTAAGGTTTTTAGGAAAATCCTTGTGTTGTGACGTAAAGTATGGACGACCACGTCGTGGCATGTTCATTATAAGAACGCGTATCCTGATGGTCGCCACGATGTGGCAAGAGGAAGGCCACGGCGTGGTAGCTGCTGCAGCCCTAGCCCATGATTTTTAGGGCTTCTCCCATATTCAAGTACCTAAACTCAAGGATTAGGGCATCTTCTTCAGCCTCCAACCCTTCTACATGAAACCCTATCCTCCATGCATGTTTGGGAGCTTATTTTCTAGATTTTGAGTTTATTATTTGGCTTTTCGTGAAGCTTGAGGGATAAGGAAGTTTACATTGGTGCAAGGAAGCAAGGAGGTAGTTTGGATCCATCATTATATTCTAATTTCTGAGCTAGTTGAGGTATAAAGTTTATATCTTGACATTTCCTTTTCTAGATTCATGTTTAGGGTTAATTTTGGGTGGTTTGGTCCCTTCCATGGATGCTCTTGGAGTTTGAGGAAATCTAGAGCTTGTTATGGTCCTCTTATGGTCTCTAAACTTCTAGTGAATGAGAAAAGAGCCATGTTTGGAGTCATCTTGTGTCCATGCACAATTTTGGGTCACATTAAGGACTTAATGGACTTATAATGGTAGATCTTGTCTTCTGGTCGAGTTCTGATGGATAAAGTTGGAAACTTTATCCATTAAGTCATTGAAATATACCAGATCTAAAATTATGGGTTTAGATCTGTAAGGATTAAGCACTTAATGAGGATTATGACTTTCTTCCAGGAACCACATTGTGGCCAAGGGATTGCCACGACGTAGAGGTGTCCTGTATATCTACTATTTTATCCTAACATGCCCACAACGTGGGCAAGAGGTATCACGTCATGGTGAGCGTTGGCCTAGTTGACCGTTGACTTTTGTTTACTGTTGACCATTGACTTTTGATCAGTTTGACTTTGAGTCCAACTTGAAAGAATTAAGTTATTGTTTAAGGATATATCTTTATTTTGTGCTATTCAATTCATGGGAGCGATCAATGTAGGGAGTGAGTGTGTTGTTAGGTCCCTTAGGTCTTCAATTCAGGTGAGTTTCCTCTTTATACTATGTGTTACAGTATATATCCATGTATGTTAGGATATAGGAGTAGTGGTATGTTGGATACAGTACCAGGGGTTGATAATCGTCTAGTTGAGTGTCGTAGGGGTTGTATACAGTCATGCAGGATAGCCTGAGAACTCTTGATTTAGGCTTTATTGCTTAGTCCTTGTTTGATTATGGCTCTAGAATGGGATCACCTGTTTGGCTTTCTATCTCACCACTGATTACATATAGTTATGTATTCATTAGTGATCTGCTAGTGGTGACATAAAGTGTTGTATGCGGCTCGGAATGCAGTAGTTAGCTTTTATATAGGTAGACTAGTGTTGATAGTTAGCTTTTAGATAGGTAGACTAGTGTTCTTGTTTGTTTACTTGTTTGATTTATATGACGACATATCTGGTAGTGGGTTGAGTCGGTCCGTATTTGTGCGCTAGGCCAAGATACTCGAGAGGGCCAATGATGTGTTGTGGGCCAGGTGCAGACTAGAT